AGTTCAACCATTGTGGAAGACAGTGTGGCAATTCCTCAAGGATCTAGAACTAGAAATACCATTTGACCCAGCAATCCCATTACTGGGTATATACCCACAGTATTATAAGTCATTCTACTATAAAGACACATGCATACATATGTTTATTCCAGCACTATTCACAATAGAAAAGACTTGGAACCAAAATGCCCATCAATCTTAGGCTGGATAAAGAAAATGTGGCACATATACACCATGGAATACTATGCAACCATAAAAAAGAATGAGTTCATGTCCTTTGCAGGGACATGGATAAAACTGGAAACCATCATTCTCAGCAAACTAACACAGGAACAGAAAACCAAACACTGCATGTTCTCACTCATAAGTGGGAGTTTAACAATGAGAACACATGGACACAGGGAGGGGAACATCACACAGCAGGGCCTGTTGGGGTATGGAGGCAAGGAGAGGGATAGAATTAGGAGAAATATCTAATGCAGATTACGCATTGATGGGTGCAGCAAACCACCATGGCACATGTATACCTATGTAACAAACCTGCACGTTCTGCACATGTATCCCAGAACTTAAAGTATAATAAAAAATAAATAAATAAAGTAATACTGCAAAAAAAAAAAAAAGGTTAGTTCGTCTTACCTTTCAGCTGCTCCATTATTCTACACCCCTACCTAAACACAACTCTCAATGGCTCAGTGATTTATTCAGTGCTCTAGATTAAGGACTGCCAAACTCTAGGACACAGACCAAAGTCAGCCACCTGTTTTTCTAAATAACATTCTCTTCGAACAGAGTCATGCTTATTCATATATGTATTGCCCATGCCTTTTTTCATACTACAATGGGAGAACTGAGTAGTTTCAACAGAGAATATGCAGGCCCCAAAGACTAAAATATTTACTATCAGGTCCTTTATAGATAAAATTTGCCAACCCTTGCTCCAGATGTGGGCCTGAGTTCCAACTTATTTATTCACCTATCCTAAGTTTCACTTTTATCTTATTAATCTTTATGTAATCTTTACAAACTAAAACCCGTTCTTCTTAAGAAAGATAAAGCAAAATAGGAGTTGAGGCCAGTGATAGATGGCATCATATTATCTCTTGCCATTCCTCTGGATCAGATGCCCAGAGTCTTACTCTGATTAATCTCCTTGCTTCTCATCTCATCACCCATCACATCCTCTCCAATCCATCTTCAAGGCTGAACCCAGAAAGACAGTCTTCTTAATAGGCAAATCCAATTTAACTACCTTAAACTCTTCAAGGGTTTCTCCTACTATGTCCAAGACAAAAATCTAAACTCCTTATTATGATATAAAATGCCCTAGCCCTTGCCTGTCCTTGCCTGTCAGACATACTTGTCTTCCTCTATGCCCCTCAGCCATGTACATTCAATGCTTAGCCATTTTAAACTGCTGTCAGCTGCTATATTCTCTCAGCTTCCTTCTGTATTTTGCATGCCTTTCTTCTCCATAAATACATTCTCCTTCTTCTTTACCACTCTTAAAGTCTTGAGTCAGTCATTTTCTCCTTTGGAACTTTTTTGTTTTTCAGGTAGACTTGGGATTGCTTTGCTCTTTGACATCACTTTGCCCTGAGTATAAGTGTGTTGACACAAACATATATCTCTATTGATCCATCTAGCAATCTCATCTCTCTAGATTGCCATTTTGCATTGTAATCCGGCTGCATGGTTGCCTCTGCAGATGACTGCAAGTAACTTTAGAGCATGAACTGTGATTTTGCTCTTTTCATCTATATTGTCTAATATATATCCTAGTACAGAAACTCCTGAGTTCAAGATACCTAAGCGTCTCAGGGACTTTTTCCTAGTGCCTCTAGGCCAAAAGAAATATGTGACAACTCTGTTTACTAAATACTTAGGTCCAAACAATTTAGTATGTATTCATGGTCTAGCAATTTAGTAGCAATTAAAAAATAATATATGTAAATAGAAAGAAAAAATTTTATATCATTTTTAAATAACCACAGCTACTTATCAATGGAATGTGTAGAACCAGGAGGATGTTACACAACTTCTCAAACAGAGAATCACATTGGACACTGCCACCCTCATTTCCTGTTCCACACTGATTTTGGCAAGGTATTTATTTTTATTACAACAACTACTGAAAATTCAGCTTTTCAAAGATAGGATGTGATTGAAAGAAATATAGTGTGAACTAATGTTGAAATGGTAAACTGTTTGAGCTACTAATTTGCTCACAGTCTCACAAATGTCAAATCTCACTATGTTTCCCTTGGAAGTTAAAAATATTCACTCCCTATGAGTTCACTGAAGCATCCTCTGCATGCAGTTTAGGAACCACTGCCCCAATGCACAGAAGTTCATTAAATATTTGTGTAATCCACCACAGTGAGAATGTTTATATGGTAATTTACACAAAAATTCAATTAAGATATTGTTTCTTAAAAAGCAAAAATAGTTACTGGCATCAGCAAACTTTTTCAGCCAGATAATAAATATTTTGGGCTTGTAGGCCATATAGTATCCATAGCAACTACTTGACTCTGCCGTTGCAGCATCAAAGCAGACATAGATAATACATAAATGAATGGGCATAGCTGTGTTTCAATAAAACTTTATTTACAAAAACAGGTAGCCAGCTCATAGGCTGTTTGCTGACATTTGTTATAAAAAGTCCTTTAAAAAGGTACAGCTTCCACATTAAAATTACTAAAAAGTTATAAACAAAAGGTGAGACTAAATACCATAAGTCCATATAGATATGAATGAATGAATAAATTTAAATTTTTATGAGGAATGGGATTACAAAGGGAAAAAGAGAAACTTCACAAAGAAAAGTTTGACAGAAATCTTCCTAAAGTAAGCATCCTCAATAAAGAGATAAATATGAATAACATGTTGTAAAACATGCTGGTCTAAGATGCAATGAGAAGAATACAAAATCACTAATATGGTATTAATGCCAAAAACCTATAAGTAAAAATTAATCATGAGGAAACATCAAAAAATCTGAATTGAGGGTCATTCTACAAAAAAAACTGACCTGTAATCTTCATAAATATCAGTCATGAAAATCAAAGAAAGAATGAGAAATAGTTCCAGAAAAATGATGACTTTAGAGACATGACAACAAAATTCATCTATAATGCAATGTATAATTCTAAATTGCATCTTTATGCTATAAAGAACAATATTGATATAACTAGTAAAAGTTGAATGTGGTGTGAGAATTAGATGTTAGTAATCTGTAGGTGCCAGGCAAGAAAGAAGAATGGTTTCTGCCCTTAAAGACTATATATTGTTTGGGTAGACAAGACTGACAAATAAATTCACTATGAGGAACATACCACATAATTAAGTACTAATTTATATAAATGAGCTAGCTCTAAATCTTATCCCACTCATCTCAACCTCATTAGAAAGAGCAATTTAAGAAGTAGCAAAGATGCTTAACTAAGAAAGACACGGCGATAAGGGTAAAGAGTTACCACAAAAGTATGAAACAGTGTTGACACTATAGAGCCGAATTAACTAAGAGGACAAAGAACCATAGCTCCACCATGGAATAGAGAGAGAGGCAGAACCCTAGAAGACCTCTGGAATCCATCAATTCATCCACATTTTTAGCTATTAGCTAGCCAACTTAGAGGTCCACAGTATTGCTGAGGCATAAATGAAAACTGCACACATTGTGATCCTAATATACAAAGAAATAGGTCAGTTGGCAACTGCATAAACCTAGGTGATCATCAGAATTCACATGAAAAACAGCAGTTCAGAAGAGAGAAAATAGGTAGAGGCTTAGGATATTTTTCTAGGTCAGAGACTATCGAACTGAGATTATTAAAATGCATTTTCTAATAACAAATAAACCTGGTCAAAGAAACAAAGTTAAATAAGTTTATTTAATTACAGAACTTCTTGGAGCCTATAATATGCTAATACACATTGTACACCTAGAAAGAGGGGGATATTGTGCACAGCATTCCACTTAGATCAGAAACCATATTAAAACACCTAAGTGTAGAAAATATCTTAACATGGAGATACAATGAATAAAAAGAGGTAGCTACTTTGGGAGGTATAACATCAACAATAACAACTATATACAAATGCCTCCTAAAAGCCTCGCAGTCTAAGGTGTAGTACCTTATTTTTTAAGGTGTAGTAGTACTTTATTTTATCTTCACGACAACCCTATGACATAATTCTGATCCCCATTTTACTTTGAGTAAAATGAGGTATACAAAGGTTAAATACGTTGCCAAAGGCCTATGGCTAGAAAGCAGTCAGGCCAGAATTCAGATGCAGGCAATCTGGCTCCAGTTTCCATGCTCTTAACCACTACGCGTTGTAACTTAACAAAATTCTCACTCATTCATTTCAAAATAAATTATTAGTTGGATATTAAGCAAGAATGAAAAATAAACATGATGATTAATTTAAACAGAAGGCTAGGAATTTTTAAAGTCCTGTTCAATTAAACTGGGGATGGGGTCAGGCAGTAAAAACTACATAACTGCAATTATGAAGTATACAATCATGATAACCCATAGTTCAGTAAAATTAAGAAGCATTTCAGGCAAAGAATATGCCCCCCAATTTCCTAATCCACACTAAGGACAACAACATGGTGAACACTTTGGAAGGGTTCTCACCGTGATTCTCTTCATATCTAGCTGGCGCAGCTGCATCATATTCTGAAGGACAGTGTGTTTGTACCATGACTCTTGAGCTATGGGATTGCCATCAAAGGTGATGTCAGAGAGGGAAGAAGAGTCAGCAAGGCAAGAAACACTGTCAAAACTGCAGGAGAGACAGAAACCACTGATTATTCTGAGGTCTTAAAATGATGCTTTCATTTTTAATAGACTTTATTTTTTAGGACAGTTTTAGATTTACAGAAAAATTAAGAAGATAGTACAGAGAGTTCTCATATACCCCATACCCAGTTTCCCCTATTGTTAACATCTTGTGTTAGTATAGTACATTTGTTACAATTAATCAACCAATATAAACATATTCTTAGTAGCTAAAGCCCCTATTTTGTCCAGGTTTCCCTTAGTTTTTATCTAATGTCCTTTTTCTGTTCCAGGATCCCATGGAGGATATCATATTACATTTAGTTGTCATACCTCCTGAGGCTCTCTTGGCTGTGTCAATTTCTCAGACTTGCCTTGTTTTTGATGACTTGACAGTTTCGAGGAATACTCATCAGTTATTTTGTAGGATGACCCTCTATTAGGATTTGTCTGATATTTTTCTCATGATTAGATGGGGGTTAAGATAACTCCTTTTTTTTTTTCTTTGAGACCAGGTCTCACTCCGTCATCCAGGCTGGGTTTCAGTGGTGCAATCATAGCTCATCCTAACCTCAAACTCTTGGGCTCCAGCAATCCTCCCACCTGAACAACCCAAGTAGTTGGAACTACAGGTGTGTACCATCATGCGTGGCTAATGTTTTACTTTTTATTTTGTCTACAAAATGAAAAGGGTCTCACTATGTTGCCCAGGCTGGTCTTGAACTCCTTGGCCCCCCAAAGTGCTGGAATTAACAGGCATGACCACTATGCCCAGTTGGTATATATTATTAATATGACTTATTACTGTTGATGTTGACCCTGATCAACATGTTCAAGGCTGAGGCTGAGATTATGTTCTTCAGGTTTCTCCAATGTAAAGTTACCATTGCATCCTCTCCTTTTCATACTCAACTATTTGTAAGGAAGTCACCATGTGCAGCCCACACTTAGGGAGTGGGAAGTTAAGCTCCTCCTCCTTGAGGACAGAGAGTCTGAACTCATGTATATTTATTTTATGCTTTGGGTTATTATCCAATACAATTTTACTATTTTGTTGTTCAAATTGTTCCAGCTTTGGCCATTGGAAGCTCTTGCAATTGGCTCCTATGCCCCTTTGGCTCCCATCGATGTGGATTTTTTTTTCTTTTTCTGAGCACTTTCTTACTTTCTGGCACTACAAGATTTTGACTCAAGTATTTTCTAGACTAATTCCTGCCATGGTCCTAGTATCAGCCATTTCTGAGGCGCCATAGTTCATTTTATTGGAGGCTAGTATTAGAAACAAAGATCTGGGGGTTAAGTGTACTTCTTGCTACTGTGGGGTCATTTCCTTTAGTCCCTCTCAGCTGACACAGCAAAAAAATATATGTGTGTACAGAAACCTGTGTATATGCATATATCTATAAATATTTCTCTAAGTAACCATCTGTGCCATCTGTGTCTATATTAAGCTAAAGATGAGTTCATACTGATGTTTCCAGCTCTAATCCATCACCAAATGAACCATTCCAGCCTCTTTCCCTTGCTTATCTGAAAGTTTCTACTTCAACAAGAAGTTTGGCTTCAAACCATCAACTCTCCATTTACTTAATTATTCAATTCCAGTATGTATGTATAGAGGTATCAGAATTTTTAATATGTACCCCCAACGAGAAACAACTTTATCAACTAAAGTACAATGATTAGGTGTAATTGCTTTTGCATTTAGTCTTACAGGCTCATTTCCAAAGTTTCTTAGGTCAGTGCCTTTTCCCCCACCCCTTTAGGGAGGTTGTTTCATATATTTGTAATGCAGTTAGATTCTCTTGTCAGTCTGCATTCCTTTCTGAGATCCTCTAAACTCCTAAGTGATTTTTTAAAATTTGCATATATTAAGGCTTACTTTTTATTATGTAAATTTCTACAGGCTTTGACAAATGCATAATGTCATGTATCCACCATTAAAGTATCTTAGAGGGGGCGGAGCAAGATGGCTGAATAGGAACAGCTCCAGTCTCCAGCTCCCAGCGTGAGAGACACAGAAGACAGGTGATTTCTGCATTATCAACTGAGGTACTGGGTTCATCTCACTGGGGAGTGCCGGACAATCGGTGCTGGTCAGCTGTTGCAGCCTGACCAGCGAGAGCTGAAGCAGGGCGAGGCATCACCTCACCTGGGAAGCACAAGGGGGAAGGGAATCCCTTTTCCTAGCCAGGGGAACTGAGACACACAACACCTGGAAAATCAGGTAACTCCCACCCCAATACTGCGCTTTAAGCAAACAGGCACACCAGGAGATTATATCCGACACCTGGCCGGGAGGGTCCCACGCCCACGAAGCCTTACTCATTGCTAGAACAGCAGTCTGCGATCTAACCGCAAGGCAGCAGCGAGGCTGGGGGAGGGGCACCCACCATTGCTGAGGCTTAAGTAGCTAAACAAAGCCCTGGGAAGATGGAACTGGGTAGAGCTCACAGCAGTTCAAGGAGGCCTGCCAGTCTCTGTAGACTCCACCTCTGGGGACAGGACACAGCTAAATAAGAACAACAACAACAACAAAAAGCAGCAGAAACCTCTGCAGACGCAAACGACTCTGTCTGACAGCTTTGAAGAGAGTGGTGGATCTCCTAACACGGAGGTTGAGATCTGAGAACGGACA